CAGTAAGCACCATATAATTTGCAAATGGGAAGCATGCTGTTAAGGCCTAGAAGATGACTCAAGATTTTTCTTTTAAAGACAGTATGCTTTAGGGTAAAGGATAACCTGTCAAACACTAGATTGAAACATAATCAAATCCTCTATAACCATGCAGTCTCATACAGCAGCCAATCACAGCTATTACACTTAAACCAATTGGAAATTCAGTTTCTAGGCCACAGTAACCATGTATAAAGTGCTAAACAGCCACCAGTGGCTAGTGGCCACCATACTGGATAGCACAGCTTTATAAATCACTTCTATCATCTCACAAAGCTCTACAGGACAGTTCTGTTCTACAAATACTTTCAGTGATACTCAATCTGAAAATTAGAGTGTAATGAAATGTGATAAAGCATCTGTGCCAAAGCTATGGAACATAAAAGCATGTCCATTAGTAATGTAGTGCCAGTTTTTCCTTCCCAAATAAGCTGAAAAGTGTTAACATGTTAGCATCCCTCCCAGTGTGTATCAGTAATCAAGAAAATTCACACTGTCCAACTGGCTGATGAAGGGTGAAATCGGGAGACAAATGAAAAACTGATCATACTTTGCCCCTTCCTCCCTATCCCCTTTACAAGAGTACATTAGTGGTATTCTGTATTTTCTGTGTAAGTTTTGTCTTGGGATGCTTTTAAGCTGTGCTTTTAGCCTAATAATTAATAGCAGCAAAGGAGGTGAGGATAGTTCCAAATAAAGATAGGTGGCACAGGCAAACCCAACACAGACAATGCAACTCAAATGGAGGTAAATTTAACTGGGACCAATACAATATAAACTTAAACAGGTACCGTGTACCAGAGATACATAAATTAAAAAAAAAAATCACCATTCCCATCTTTGAAGAGCACAAGTTGGTAGGGGTATCCAACATATAACAAATATGACACATGGTATGATAAATGCAATAAGGCAAGTATACATAAAACATACAGACAGGGAGGGTACTTTTAAAGGACTTCTGAAGAAAAAACAGGGACAATTTCCTGAAGGAGGTACCCAAGAAGCAGAAGCTATGCAAAGGAACTCCAAGGAGTGTGGCAATGCTGGAGAAAAATGTCTTTGATGGTAACAGGGATGGGGGTGGACAATGGAAGGAGGGGGAGATAGAACTACAGAGTTATTTACACACCAGACCACACTTATGTTTATGACAGGGTGGCCTAGGTGTGTCTATACACCTTTCTCACCACAATCAGAAGTAATGTTAAAACCAATCCCTAAATCTTGATAGATAATGTACCCACATGTGCCATACAACTAACAATATTTGACAGTAATCATTAGTAGGAATATAAGGAAAGTTCTTTGAGACATGGTACCACTTAATACATACAGGTCACAAATACACTGTAACTGGAATCCTTTTTCAGGGAGAAACCTCTTTTTACGGTTTCAGTTGGAATAATCTTAGAGAAGATATCAATAAACAAATGGGTTACCCTCACATCTAAATGTTCCCACCAAGAGTTTATATGACCAGGAGACTAATGAAATAAATCAAGAGGAGGGGAGAAATGTAAAAGCAAACTTTCTACACTCTGGACCAAAGTTCTTTTCTTCCTCCAAAATTTCCAAAGCAGTTCTGTTGCTCTGTATCCTGGATGGTACTGGGTACACCCAGCCTGTGACCAATGTAACTATTGTGTCCAATAACCTAAAGGACTTCTGAGGCTGCTCTTATATTTACTTGGGAAATACCTGCCTCTTCTAGAGACCTTTCCCTTCATTTTATAGGTATGTCCAAACAAAACAAAGTAAAAACCTTCCAGGGAACCTTGTTCTCTTTAATTTACTGGAATCCTGTCTTTCCTCTCTCCACAATAAAGATTTTGGAAAGATGGCTTACAGGTTTTAAAGAATTCACCAGGAGAGTTTCTTCCCTTTAATTCAAGGAAAACTTTCCAGACAAAAACCTTAACTGTAGAAATAATTACACATTCATAAACTTGCTGGCCCTTGGGCAAACATATTACTACTATGAAGACAGACATGTCACCCTTAGGTAAAAGTACCTTCTTTTTTTTTTTCAGACAGAGTTTCACTATGTTGCCCTCGGTAGAGTGTTGTGGCATCACAGCTAACACCAACTTACAACTCTTGGGCTTAAGTGATTCTCTTGCCTCAGCCTCCCAAATAGCTGGAACCACAGTGCCTGCCACAACACCCAGCTATTTTTTGGTTGGAGTTGTCATTGTTGTTTGGCAGGCCCGGACTGGGTTCCAATTCGCCAGCTCTGGTGTACGTGGCTGACGCCCTAGCCACTGAGCTACAGGCGCCACGGAAGGTACCTTCTTAACAGAGCACAGGTAATGACAGAAAGTTGGGGCTGTGGAATCAGCCTCCCTGGATAAGGTTGTTCTTCTCCCTGATCGACTTTCCCTTCATTTCCTTAGTTTCAGTTCCAACCCAAAGAAAGTTACGGATAATAGTATTTATGGAGTGTATCTACGTCTGCACAGCCACGGTGCCTAGTACATTACATAGTGACCCCCATCTAGTGACAGATCAATACATGCTAGCTAATTTTACTACTTTGCCTTTAAATATGATTTCACAACTATTCCATCAAGCTGGTTAACCGTGGAAGTTCTCCTCACTGTGCATCAAAATCACTTTTGGGGGGGGTTAGTTAAAATATACTACGTGTAGGCCCTCTTTGGATTTGGGTTCAAATGGGCTCTGAACGGGAACTGGAATTTTCAAAGCTCTCCAGGTGATTATAATGTGCAGCCAGAAATAAAAACCCACATATAGATCTCTATACACCCGCAGCTATACACACATCATCACCTGTTAAGGTCCGTCAGAGTTTAGAGCAAATCAGCGCCGGCAGGCCCTCCAGCCTAGGAGGACGAAGCTCCCCTAGATGCTGGGACAACGAACCCAAACGTAGCTCACCGAGGTTCAACTCTGACCGACCCCACCAGCCAGGGCCCCAACAGCGGCGCGGCGGCGCTCGGCGGGGTACACGCCCTCTCGCCCCTTCCTCCGCTGCCCCGCGAGCGCCCGGCCCCCAGGCCGCACGTCGCCGCGCCCTAGCCTCCCGCGCCCCGACCCCCTCCCGCCCACGGCACGTGACTCGACACGCGCCAGCTGCACGCGGGCTCGATGAAAACAAAAACAGAGGAGGCCGGC